TGTACTCTGCAGAGGTGAACTGTGGCGAGGGGGTCCTTTAGAGTGACAGCTGCCCCTGATATTCCCTGATTTTATTGAATGTCTGACGGTGTTGACAAAAAGTGGGGACGCAACTTTAAAATCTTATGAAACATGCATGTGTCATTAAAAAAACAACCTTGCTTTGATAGGAGATATTATTAAGTGTTGCTTTTGATAAAACAAGCTCTTTTTCATCATTAAAAAAACATTTTTATTAATTTCATTGCATATGAATGATTGAACCCTTCTCTGTGGACACACTGTTTTAGATGTAGTGAGAGGACATTAAGAAACACAGATTTGGTATAATAATGAGAAAATGAAATTGAAGGTGATAATTGTGTTAAATACATTCTATTATTAATCCCTCATGACATTTAAAATTGAAAATATTTTTTATTTTTTAAAGCTAATAGCAGTTACCCTTGCTGGACCTGTTTTGTCCCACGTCTCAAGAATGACTGCATGCTCAATGTAGAGCATAACTGCCCATATTTAACCATTTAAATGTTGCTCTTCGATTTTTTTTCCTCAACATTTGATTAAACATTTCTGTAAATAATGTACATTTACGAGTTTCAGTTATCTAAGGTTGTAGTTTTGTATCTATTCAATCTATTTTATATTTATAATCAATATAAATATATCTTTTTTTTTATATTAGGACATGTCTGAAGACGTGAGTGTTGTAGTGGTGGGCTCTTGTATGTCTGACTTAGTAAGGTAAGTCATCAAAGGATTTCATTGTCATAAGTGAAAATGGGCTCAAGGCAAATATGTCCTCCATGTTTAAAATGTGGGGGCAAAAATGCCTTTGTAATGCATTACTCTGTCCTGAAGAACAAAGAGTGATTGCAGAAAAATCTACTGTGACAACAAACAATAGAGTGTCATGTAATCATATTGCATGTGCCAGCCCATGCATTCTAGCAGAGCCTTTTTCACATTATGATATCTTGTGAATTATTTACAAATACCTTTGTGTTTGTGTACATTTTTAGATATATTTAACAGCCATTTTTTCAAAAATTAATTTTAGATAATTTATTTAAATTAATTGATTCAGTCATTTAGCATAATACAGGTGCATCTCCATAAATTAGAATGTCGTGGAAAAGTTCATTTATTTCAGTAATTCAACTTTGAGTTGAATTACTGAAATAAATTAACTTTTCCACAACATTCTAATTTATTGAGATGCACCTGTAGATGACAGACAGTTAATAAAAATATGGCCTCATAGTATTTTTATGCCTCTAACATACCAGTTATATGGGGGTATACATCATCCCTTACTGAAAAGTACATTTCTGACACTGAAATATTTTTTATTAAAAATGTATAATCATTTTTATTTAGGAAATGTAAGCAGTTAGACCATTGATACACAACCTCTGAGTTGTAATTTTTTAAGCATTTTGGATCATGAAATTTACATTAATGGCGCTGTATAATGAACAAGTGTCCACCCTCTATTATCAACTTAAAGCTCAATCCTCAGATATTGTCCTATATGATGATTTCATGCTCATGTGACAAACTCTCAGACTGGAAGTGGAACATATTCCACATGCAGAAGGCAGACTTTAAGTTTTTAAAATAACTCTGAAAGGAATTAGTCCTTCCAGCAGGAACCAACTAAGGTCCAACAAAGGCAGATTTGGGGAACTGCCTTCTGTTCTGCCTGCTCTGTCTATTATTAATATTTCCCCAAGGAACTGATTCACTGCTCACTGGTCACAATTGCCGCCGGCAAGTTTTTTTCAGCGTCAAGTGTGTCCCAGTCATCTTTGCTGCAGTATTTACAGCTCAGGTGCACCTTTTGACTGGAACATGGCCTAAACTTGGAGTTGTGCAAAATGGTTCAAAGATTATTAATTTGATATTTTAAAACAGCACAGGTAAAGTGACATAAAGATAATGGAAAGTGTTGGTGTTCTGCTTTATAGACGTGTTTAACCATGCTAAGCTATCCAGAGTCAGCATTTTTCTTTCCACACATAACTTAACTAAATCATACTCACTTCTTTCTTTGTCATTCCCCAAGTGCTCAAAACAAATGACCCGTTATGAAAAAATTCCAATTGCTCATATTTATTACCATTTAAAAATCCAGACATCACTGTTGGCCTTTGAACAGAAGCGATTGCATCAATTAGGCAATAGTTTTGATGGGAAGTGTGTGTTTGTTTTTCAACAGGCTGTTTTTTGGAGGGCGGCTGACACATTTCACCCATCAAAGTGCTATGCATGGCTTTGATGTGTAAAATCCAGTTTTCTATGTGGCTTGTGTTTGTGACAGTCAAACGGAATCAGACACTTTGTAACGAGTCTTGTGTGGAACATCTGTGTGTTTGTGGTGAAGCCAGACAGTGCCACCTGCTGATTACAATTTGAACCGATTAGTTTGCCTTCACTGGAGCCTTCACTAACTTCACTTGCTAAGCAATGTTAGTCAAGAGGTGTATGTGGCACACTCAAACTCTGCATACTCTTGGCTCAGGTCTCAAATGTTCCTATAACAATAAACAATAACAATAAACCTCAGGCACCTTATCTTTGGTTCAAACTGTAATAGATGTAATAGATATATTATTACTGGTAAAAGCATCATTTAGCAATAAGTGATGACTATATTGATGAACCATGGCAATTGCATGGTAGTCAAAGATACTTTAAAGAATACCATTGTACCATATACATAAAACATTTGTACTGTGGCACTATTTAGTGTTGTTTTGATAGTGTTGTATTCAAAGTTTAATATTTGTGTTTATCCTTAGAGTATGTTTATTATGGTACACAAAAAATGGTGTAGTAGGATATATTTTCACTCAGGAATTGTTAGTAAATTTCACAAAGAAACGACAAGTAACCTGCAATTACTTGAATTAAAGTAGAAAGACTGAACTATTATTTTCTTGTAAAAAAAATTCTTATCTTTGTTTTATTTACAACAAAAAAATATCATTTTTACAGTATTCATACAACATGGTATTTACATGATA